GGGTCAGAGGGAGAAGCAGACTCCCTGCTGAGCAGGGAGCCCGATGCGGGACTCGATCCTGGGACTCCAGGATCATGACCTGAGCCCAAGGCAGTGGCTTAACCAACTGAGCCACCCAGGCGCCCCGGGAGACTTCATTTTAGCAATAACAATAAAGGAAGTAATTGGAAAAATCTATTTCTTCTCCAGTAGTAAAAATGAGATTATTTGCCTTTTATTTAACATTTTTGAATTTCTGAATCCCATTTTTAAAACCATTTCTAAACGCTGCAAGTGGCAAACTAGAATGTTATTCCTTTTGAGAACAAAACATTCTTTTTCTTGACTTTCCCATGATTTTCCCACAGATCATTAGACTATGGTACTAAAACTGAGGGCCATGAGACATCTGTGTAAGAGGTTTAGCTTCCAGGAGAACATATCGCCAACCATATCTTGTCACGCACAGAACAAGAAATTAGAGGAAACTGCCTTTCAACAAAGGTGACTGAGATAGAGTAACAGAGAACAGTCTGCCTCTCAACCACAAGTTTCTACAGAAACGGACTTTTCAGGAGAGCCAAATTTCTTTTAAATGGATGTGAAATAAGTATGGCAATAAACAACCTGCATTAATTCTTATTTTTCAAGCATTCCAACTTTCTTCTTTTCCTTAGAACAACATCACTTAAAAAAAAAAAAGAGATGTACAATAAAGTGACTCAACCTCTATATTGAGACCTCTGTGGTTTAAGAGGCATAATACATACGGTTTCTAATAAAATTTGGACACAAGAAGCTAAGTAACAATTTTCATTTATGTAACATTGGTTTTAACCCAACTCTAATGAATTCATTTACAATTTTAAAAAAAAGTAAATATTGTGCTCACTTAATAGTTTGCAGAGCAAATGGAAAACACTGTATTTCTAGTGATGTGGTGATACTTTCAATGAGACATAAACAGAGAGGATGAATATACAAGGGAAAAAAATGTTAATTTTAGGGCAGATGAAGAACAAAGAAAAGATATTCAAAATATGAAATACTTGACTCTCCCTTTAACTGTTTTAATCATTTGTCTTTAGTAAATTATCAATATCCAATAGCTAAGTTTTGTAACATAGGTCCTGTGTTAAATGTAGAAAGATATTCCCAATCCAGAGACAAAGAGCTGAAGGAATCATTAGTATAAATTAGTACTATATTTTCTTCCCCCCCCCACAGCTTTACTGAACTATTATTGGCAAATAAAAGTGTGTATATTTAAGGTGTACAACATGATGATTTGATATACATACACATTGTGAAATGATTACCACAATCGAGTTAACTAATAGTCACCCCACAGTCACATTTTTGTGTGTGTGCGGGGGGGTGTAAACACTTAAAATCTACTTTCTTAACACATCTCTAGTATACGATACATTATTATTACCTGTAATCAACATTCTGTACACTAGTGGTATTTTCAGAAAGGCTGGGGAGCCTGAAGTCCACATTATTAATGGGGAAATCTTGAGCTAAAAATAATCTGTTGGAACATTTCCCATAATGTTAATTTAGAGAAAGCTTTAAAATGTTTCATTTTAAGAATCAGAAGCTAATCCAAAAACTGCAGAATGTATTTCATGCAATTTATTAAACTACCTTCCATCTAATTAAAACATTCAGGCCTCTTCTGAAGAACAGTGAACTTAGTTCCTAAATATAAAATGTCAGTTCTGCTTAGAGAAAAATGAGTTTGATGCCTCTCCCCTCTCATATTATTATTGTTCATAACAATGTGAAAAAGACTGGGCTTCTCTTAAGCATATCTTTCATAATACTGTTTAAATAGACCTACTTCATTTGCATTAGGTAAGCATTCTGGCATTCAGCTTTTATGCTCACTAAGTAGAAAGGAATTCTCCTCCGAAAGCTTAGACAGTATTTCTTTCCAATGTTCTCATATATCTGTTTCAAACATGGAGGAAGAATGAGAATAACTTTTTAAAATAAACAAATTCTTGCCTTCTTAAAATTGCAATAAAACAAACAAGCTTTCTTTTATTAGCTGTAGACCACTTTGGGTAATGGTCCCACACAGAAGAACAGACTTTGAAACTTCCTGAATTGATGGAGGGTATTATAATAGTGCAAGATCGTTAAAGTCGTATCTGTACACAATAATGGAAAAGACGAATGGAGGCCATGTCAGTCTGCAGGTTCTGCAATTACCCCTCTTTCGTGAACTTTTGTTAAACCGGCTAAACGTCTAAACCCAAAGTATATAGCATGAACCTAAATCATTATTACTTCAGATATGAGAGGATATAGAACTGAGAACTTATAAACATGATCTTCATGGTCATATGCAACCTCCAGATGGAAAAACTTTAGGACCCACTCAAAGGCCTCTTGACCACAAGGCAGCAAAAAGTATGGTTATTAAACTACTTGCTTCCTCCCAAGCAGGCCTCTTTCAGCAGACATTTTAAAGATGTTGGCTCTGAGAAAATAAAGTTTCACTGTTTCACAAAAATATAAATACTGAACAGTATATCATTTGTTGTTTGCAAAAATTTTTGCAGATGTTTAGAAACATCTTATTTATTTACTCAATTACTGGCAAACTACCATAATAATCCTTAGGAACTAAAGCTGTATTTAACCACAATCCACAGCTAATGCTTTAAGAATTGAGACCAGGTTTTGTTTTGGCAACCCCTAAGCTGATTCATTGTTAATATCTGCTGAAATTTGAGTACCTTACATATAATTAGGAAACAAGTTTAAAATTTTGGTTGAAGCAAATTTTTGACCATGTTAAGCCACAAATACACATGCCATGATTCATATTTTTCCCTATTATTTTTACTTATTCCCTGCCCATATTTATTTTTTAAAAACACTATTTATTTATTTATTTATTTATATCCATATGGGCTATACAATATATTATGTCATATCATGTTGACCTACTAATGCCCAGTGGAGCTGACAGTGATATTCAATACATACAGCAAGCTTTGCTAAAGCTTTCCCAGGAATCTGGAAGAGTTTTATGCTGCCAAGAACAGCTGTTTTCCTCTGAATTTCCCAATTAGCTTAATAAAATCCAGAAAGTCTTCAGAGTTAGTGACAAAATCGTCATTATAGTTTAATGCTCCTGTCTACTATTAAAGCAGAGGATAATGATTGCTAGAAAGGCTTGTTTTCAATTACACAATTAATAAATAAATGTTTAAGTTTGTGTGGTTTCCATTGGTGCTAAATTCTTACTATAATTGAAATTAAAATTCTTATTGGCCTTAAGGAAAATTTACTATGGTGTGCCATTTTGAAGCTAATAAACAAGATTTGGTATTTTAAGCAATCTTTTACCAGTTAGCAAATTATGTATAGAGAATATGATATTCTTAGTAATTTAATTTGTGGATTTTTTTTTTTTGCATAAGCATGCTTCTAAGAACATACAAATTAGTTTAATAAAAGGAAGAACTTATTGGTTTCAAACTATCTCCACTTTGGTTATTGGGAAGTCATGACAGCATAACAAAAATCATATTTCAGCAAAACCTAAGACAACATCACACCATCTAACTTACTTTCCAGCTGTTGACGGAGGATGCTCCCATCTTGGTCAGTCCTATGCGGATAGAGATGTCTGGAAGCCAGAACCTTGCCAAATATGTGTCTGTGACTCAGGATCTGTTCTCTGTGATGACATAATATGTGACGAACAAGAATTGGACTGTCCCAACCCAGAAATCCCATTTGGAGAATGTTGTGCAGTGTGCCCCCAGCCTCCAACAGCTGTGAGTTTAAAGAAAATCTGTACATCTTCAAGATTTATATTTTAACACATGAATCGTTCCTATACCGTAGGAGCTTGAAAGGAGAAGAAAGCAATGTCTACCAACTATGTTGGAATTACAAGTAAAAGATGAATATTCTGGTTTAAAACTAAGGATTGGATGTAATTGGGGATAAGAAATAAATATGCAAATTGGGAAACACTTCATGGGAAAGTTGCTCTTATGTCTTACTTAATCTGTATCTTTTCCATTTATTAGCCTCCTCGCCCTCCTAATGGTCATGGACCTCAAGGCCCTAAGGGAGATCCAGTAAGTAAACATTCTTCAGTAGAATGAAATGAGTTATTTAAGTGGTCTGCTTTTTTTTTTTTTTTTTGCTTCTTCTAATAGCCTTTTCATATTTGAGTCTTCATCATTGAGACATTTCCTTGACTACTACATTATTTAATGACACAAGAGAACTCAAACTGAGAATCCATAATTGTACATGTGAATACTTAAATTTCCCCAACATTATATAATGTCTTCATCCCCATTATCAATTTGAAAAATAAAATATAGGACAATCTACAAAGAAATAAATCATGCTGAAATTATTCACATGATTTAGATAAAAAATATATGTATTCTCAAGAAAATGTATCACTTATATCAGTTCCTCATATTATAAAGCAGAGAAGCTACAATTTGATGATAATTCTGAATCACGAGGCCTTTTCACTGTCTTATGAGTTTTTGTCTTTGATTCTTTTAGGGCCCACCTGGTATTCCTGGGAGAAATGGTGATCCTGGTATTCCAGGACAACCAGGTTCCCCTGGGTCTCCTGGCCCCCCTGGAATCTGTGAATCATGCCCTACTGGTCCTCAGGTAATAAATTCCAGGACAAAAAGATCCCCTCCCTTTAAAACTACCTACTTCATTTTCTTTTCTTTAGCCTATAAAACATTTCACTTTTGTGGATTCCTTATATCTATTCTCTGATTGTATGTATTTAACAAATCCTTATTTAGTGCTTGTAAGTGCTGGACACTATTTTAAGTGATTTATAAATTTTACTTTTCTTCATAATGCCAATGCTATTGTTATTATATCTTTGCAACATTTCCCAACTTCTCAGCAGACATAGAATCTATCACTATGTTTGAGAAATGAGCCATCAACTCCCAAATGAATTAACCTGGAAGATCTAGGAACTGCTGTAACTGTGCCTTATTTTCCTTATAATCCCAATGGTAGAGCCTCTGAAAGTCTGGACAAAAAGCAGTTAAAGAGCTGTGAATACTCCTTATTGACTTTAAGTCAACAGGATGATTCAAGCCTAGGCAAATACTCTTGCCAAGCCTTCAGAGCACATCCTGCTTCTCCTAAAAAGCATGGCAGCCAAATAACCCTGCATGTAAAACAACCAACCAAACAAATAAATGAGATGTAATTTCTGTTGCATGCAGTTAGGAGAAATTAGAAGCCACATATCTACAAATCACTCTGAGTTTTAAAAAATGCTATTCAAAAATCAATTCAACAGAAAGCAAAGCATACCATCTATTTATTCTTATCCTGGTACCAAACATAACCCACTTGTAGGACTGGGATTCAAAACAAAATAATCTCCAAAGAAATCCAATAAGCACATGAGCTTTTCTATTATTCTTGTGCCTATTTTCTATGGGGATGCTTATTTGGAGGGTAAATTTGTTAGGCATATTAACCAGAAGCCAGGGGATACAAATTTAACTTTCATCATTAAATGCTGGTAAAGTAATTTGACTTTTCCATTTTTTTCCTGCTCAGAATGAGACGATCAGATTATATGATTTCAAGGCTCTTTCAGCTTCAAACAGTCCATGATCCTATGTTTCTAAAGCTGTGGGTATCACGTAAAAATGATATTTTGAGTAAGATCATATAGGAAATAATTATTTGGGAATAACATTGCACAGAGTTAGTTGAAGGGTGTGTGTACTACATAAACAAGTATTTCTGTAGTGTATCTACTACCTGAAGCAACAGAGAGACAGGATAAGCAAGATGATGAAATAATACACACCACATCTTCTGGCATGCAGAAACTCTCTGTCAGTGAATGGTAGATGTTGCATGCACCTCTTCTAAATGCTTTTGGAAAGAACTATGACATATATATCAAAATGATCGTATCTACTTGGTCTCTTTGCTACAGAACTATTCTCCCCAGTTTGAGTCATATGACGTCAAGGCTGGAGTAGGAGGAGGAGGAATCGCAGGCTATCCTGGGCCAGCTGTATGTACAAGAGTTTCTCAGCATTCTAGAGCATGATGTAGTTTCCAATTTGTTAATTCTTGAATGATTGTTTTCCTAGTAATATGGTATTATTACATATGCGTACAAAATAGCTTATTTTCCATTAAGGCTGGGAAAGCAAATGGTAGGATTATCATGATCTTTCTTATCCTAACTCATTTTTTCCTCACTGCCTCTCATCTCACGCCTGTTCTGCCTCGCCTTCCTTCTTTATACAACCACGCATCCCAGGAGCCCACCTGCCTTAGTGCTTAGGTCTCACACCTATATATTCCCTAATTTTAACCAAAATTTGCTATTTTTCACTTCCATTTTTCCTCGTTCTAAGTTGTTCAGAATCTTCTTTTTTTATGTGCTTTCCTCAATTAAGGGCTACTTGCTAGATGACAATCCGAGTGATGAATGTCCAATATTACAAGCTGCCCCACCTCAAACCCTGAAATCAAATACAAATATTTCCAGAATTTATTGAGTCTTTAAGTTTTCCTATTACACATGATAGCTATTCACATTGTACCCAAAAAGTTTCCCTTAATGTAAATGACCTAGAGTTTTGATAGAAGAAAATAGAAAAAAAAAATCACTGAAACCTGGGCACCTGGGCATGACGCATGGTGTCCCACGTAAATGACCCTAATTGTAGACCAGGCTCTCGGGAGAAGCAATGTGGGAAAGATCATCGCTTCACTGCCAGTAACAGGTACGTAAGTGTAAAGGAAACATGATGCTGGATTCTCAGGGATTATGGAAGGTTTCCAACCAGATCATTAGACACCATATTTGTGACTTCCAAAACTAGAGAGGACAAAATTTAGCTGGTAGATCCAAATGACCAGTTAAAGAAAGACCCTTAAAATTGATGTAAATTGTAAAAAGAGAATTTTACAAATCTCTAAAGTTTTGGGGGATGTGATTTTTTTTTTCTTTTAAAGCCGGAAGGAAAATTATATTAACAATGTAAATATCTGGTCTTATGCAACTAGATTCAAATTATGAATCTTATTTTTCAATCCTATATACAGTTTTTACTAAAAAAAACAAAAACTAAAAAAACAAAACAAAACAAAACAAAAAACCCACTACTTAATATTCCAGAAAAGAGGTTACGAGAGAACATTTAATTACAAACTGTTGTTTTATAAATTTGTTATCAGTATTTAGAAACAGCATGCTATAAAATGGAAGATTTTCTAGTGTAAGCTGTATTTCTGAGCAATGATAAATCAGTTGGTTCTAATTGTAATTTATCATCGTCCCATGTATGCTGATTTTCAAAAGCACATCTAAATCTTCATGTTAACATAACTCAGTGACATAATTAAGAATTTCTGGGTTGATTTACATCATTGTTTTTAGAAACTGGGATTAACAGTATGTAGATATTTTTCCACAGGAGTCTGGCTGGCAGGCAAAAAAAAATGCTTCTTCACCAGGACAAGTATCATTCTAATTGCAGGGACTTCCACAGCATTTTGCGTGGATTTTTCCAGATTTTAAACCCCTTTTTATGGAGGGTTCAGGCTAACATTTTATAGCATTTACTAATAATTTGTATTGATTCTGTGGGAATTCCATTTAGAGTGATGTTTTTGTAGTGAGATCTTTATTGTATATCTAATAAAATTAATCATATCCGTGAATAGTTACTACATAACGAGGCATGCTGTTCTCATTTTTTTTTTTAATGTCAGTATCATTTCTGAACAGAGGCATCTCTTTGATGCCTGAAAAAAGTGTATTTCAGGTAAATCTATTTTGTATTTATCCTTTACATTTACATTCCAGGGTCCCCCTGGCCCTCCTGGTCCCCCTGGTACATCTGGTCATCCTGGCTCCCCGGTAAGTGTAGCCATTAGTGGTGCTTTCTTTTTCATGAATTTTATATAAATCGAGTTTACATAGATCTTGCTGTAATTTAGCCATTCCAACATGCATAATCCCAATTAAGGAGAGAAATCACACCCAGGAAACTATCATTCCTTCAAAGATGGAATTTCATGCCTAATTCCTTTCCACAAACAACTATTCATAATGAAAACCTTGGTAAAATTAAACCATAGGCTTAATTTGCATGTGATACGGCTTCAAGTTCAAAACAATTCATTTTCAATGGAATAACGTGGATATAATGGAATAAATTTGCTTTCTTCTGATCTGAAAAATTTTGGCTTCCGTGTTTATAAATTGGAATAAGATTTACTATTGCATTCACAAATCCTGATTTCATACTGTCTTCAAGAGGTAAATGCTTAATGTGAATATTACATTACTTTTAAAATATTTTCACATTATTCTACTCACTAGGGTTCTCCAGGATACCAAGGTCCCCCCGGTGAACCTGGGCAAGCTGGTCCATCAGTAAGTAACAATTACATCTGTATTTAATAAATTGACAATTCTATGTAGAAATCACTTTTATTTTCTAAAATATCATCATAGGTCCTATAATGTATAGATTGTTTATGCTCAAAATTAAAATAATAAATAATATTTCTTACGATAGTTGAACTGGTTTCGAAGATCTTTTGGACTCTTTAGTGGTTTAGATTTCCTAGAGACACTTGCTATTGAATCTAGGAATTCCTGGCCTAATTAGCCACCATCATAGTTCACCTCCTAGTGTGGATACAAATCTTCTTTCTCTTAAATATAGATTTAATTTTCCTGTAATCACTCAGTTCACCTGCATATCTGCTTTTCTGACATACAATTTTTAAAACCTAATTTAGTAGAAATAAGTATAATCTAACAGAGTCCTCCAAAAAAAAAAAAAAACCATGCTGTATAAACAAGCAAGTGAGGTGAAGTTAGTTCAATTTAATATTTCAAACTATTTGGAAATCCCTGTATATTAAAAAATTAAATATCTCACAAAATGTGAAAGTGCCTATGGGTTTATAAGTGCATATGATATAAAATATAGATACATGATATTTTTAATTCCTATTAAAAATAAGTTCATTAAACAGTGAAAACTGGATATAATACAGGCATAATATTAACTCCATATGTCATTTTCATCATGAAAAATATTAAGAGTATTTTCTAAAAGGAGATTCCTTTCAGGGAAACACGTACTATGTAACAATAAGTTGTTGTGAAAGAAAAACCTATAGATACATTTGTTTTTTATTTTCTTATTTTCAGGGCCCTCCAGGACCCCCTGGTGCTATAGGTCCATCTGGTCCTGCTGGAAAAGATGTAAGTCTTTAAAGATTGAATGGAGATATGGCAAAATCCAAGTTGGAATATACTGTATGCTAGGCTCACGGGAAAACCTTACCAAAAAAATCATTGCTATCCTAATGACATTTTAGCTCATATTAATTTTTGAATGTATAGTGTTTGTGTAACTGTAAATACCATAATTTGAATTCCAAACTAACGGAACCCCTAAATGTGCTTCTTCACTGTCAAGAAGGTACACCCACTGAATAGATCATTTAACTGGAGGAGAAAAAAGTAGCTTTTTTCTTCCTCTTGTAATGAAGAAATTGATATCAATACTTTATGAACTTGAAAACTTAAAAACACCTTTAATATTGTGTCCTTCTTCCTTTCCCATTTGATTTCCAATGGCAAATTCTTCTCAGTGGATTGAGAGAGCATTATAATATTTCAGTGAAGAGTGATGCGTGTGATGTTCATAAGTTCATATTGAGATGGGAGAAGTCCTCTCCATTCCTTCTACTAGGAAAGCTGTTCTAACAACTAAATGTTTAGCCTAACCATTTTCATGAGTCCTTGATGAGAAAATGCAAAGTCATTGGTTTGCTAACTAGGCACAATGTGCTTTCTCTTCCACAATCACCTACGTATTTTTTATTTCTCCACCTAGGGAGAATCAGGAAGACCCGGACGACCTGGAGAGCGAGGGTTGCCTGGACCTCCAGTAAGTCTTTGACATCCAGTGAATTACATGGAGTAGTCACGATGATCTTAGCTTGAAAATTATTCTATAATTAGATTGAATTAAACTTAAAAATGGAAGGCATTTTACAACTGGACTGTGATTCTATTTGAAAATTCATTAATATCTGTTCTATTCCTTGTTTTTAGGGTATAAAAGGTCCAGCTGGTATGCCTGGATTCCCTGGTATGAAAGGACATAGAGTAAGTAGAGTTTCTAGATTAACAAAAAGCTATTTCATTTAACCATGTTTACTTGCCTAACCAATTTTATTGGGCAATTTGAGTATGTGCCAAAAATGGTTGATTTGATTTTTTAACAGTCAGTTGACTTTGTTGACCAAACCAACTAGTAATTTTACAGGTAGTAATTAGACTGATTTTAAATATGTGAAAAGGCTTGGGAAAAAATTATTTAATTTTCTTATCATCATTGCCAGAAAAAAATGAAAATGTATTATTGAGAGCCATGCGTTATTCATTGGCTTAGTCAATGTTATTTGCAATTGAATCAAGCAAATTAGTCTATGCAAATCATTAGGTAGATTCCACCAACTGACCCCCAAATCTATCAATTTAATAGAAATAAAATCTGTGAAGCTGATATTTGCTATCACTAAGGCAACTTCCTAATTGAACTAGATTGTACTTGTTAATTCAGATTTTTTACTATAAAATCAATGTCAAATATCTTCAATCCATTTAAAAGAGTTTTAAATTATTCACATCAGTGAATGTGGTAAAAACTAGTTATGAAAAATACAATGTAAAGTTTTCAACCATTCTGGATTGTTAACAGATCTTTAATATTTTTACTACTTTTATACGTTTCCTAGGGCTTTGATGGACGAAATGGAGAAAAGGGTGATACAGGTGCTCCTGGATTAAAGGTAAATCAAAACAAAAATCATATTTTTGTAAGTAAATTCCTTTAAATGTTATAGCTATATTTAAGATTTATACTTTGGGGTTTAACCTTTTCTGAAATTTACCTGAATTTTGCATTCCAGGAACTAAATAACAGTGACGAATTCAGATGTTCTATTGGGGCTTCCATGAAAGCTGATAGCTTGACTATCTAGATTAGAAATGATTGTGCATCTCTGAGTAACTCACTGATTACTTCTGTTTCATCCTCAAGTTTTTAAAATGCAAAAATTGAGAATTATGGTAAATAAAATGCTACCAAAAATTTGATATTGCCAAAAAATATCTTTTTCTTAGGTTCTATAATATTCTTCATAATGTGCTGCATTTAAAAAACTTTACATTCCTCTCTCTGTTCTACAAAATGGTAACATATTTTACATGTTTCTAGGGTGAAAATGGCCTCCCAGGTGAAAATGGAGCCCCTGGACCCATGGTAATTATATTTCTTATGTAATTTTCAGTTTTAGTTTATTAACCTCCATCTAACCCAAAACTTGCCTTGCTCCTTCCCCAACTGTTCTTACACATGGCAAGGTTAAGGTAAGACCATTCTTTCAACTGTGTTCTGTAGGGTCCCAGAGGAGCTCCTGGTGAGAGAGGACGGCCAGGACTGCCAGGAGCTGCGGTGAGTCTTGCTACCAGCACTGCACAGAATCCCAGATAAGGGTCTCATCCAGGTTTGCAGGCTGTGGCAATCGCCAGGAAAATCTTTCCCGTGAAATAGCATTTAACGATGCCTCCATAAAACTGCAGCTATAACTATAGGGAAACAAATAAGGGTTTTATAGTTATTATCTCCTTTGAAAATTTTTTTGAGGGTTAACTTTGCCTATGTTATTAGAACAATTAATTCACATTTAGTTCTGTTAAACACAGAACCCAGTTCTTCTATATCAGATCATTGCTGTATACATCAGAATTTTAACAATTTGACTCTAAAAATATATATTTAGCAGATTTAAATACACTGGAGGAAAAGTCAACTCAATGGAGTCAGAATTTTAGTAAGGGGGCACCTGGGTGGCTCAGCAGGTTAAGCTTCTGCCTTTGGCTCAGGTCATGATCCCAGAGTCCTGGGATTGAGTCGTTCTCTTTCTCTCTCTTGCTCTCAAATAAATAAATAAAATCTTTAAAAAAAATAATTTTAGTCATTACTCGTGACTGGCTTTTCAGAATTAAGAAGATATTTGAGACAAACTTCTCTTTTTAGGGGGCTCGAGGTAATGATGGTGCTCGCGGAAGTGATGGACAACCAGTAAGTAACTTTTTATCTAACCCTGAGTTGCTTCAGTGTAATGAGAGATTATGTGGTATGGAATGTTGGAATAATATGGAATATAGGCCTAAAACTCAACAGTGTCCATAAACATTTCATTCAAACTGACACCAGGTCCATAAACTAAATCTAGACACAATCTAGAAACACTAAACCCATAGGTGAAATTCTGATACTCCTCGTTATACTTGGCCAATTACTAACTTCTGTATAGTGTTCACTGTGTCAGTTAATCACCAGCACTGGACATGGCAATTAAAAGCGCTCTGCAAAATAGATAATAATATTACCTCCATTTTATAAACAAGAGTACAAGAGTTCGGGCTAAGTAAATTGCACAAATTACAGAATTTGTGGTGGAAGGCAGGGGGATCCTACTTTTCTAACTTTAGATTTTACTTTCTTGTATTTTGCCACATTGTTTCTCTACATAATATTCACCCATGGATGATAAATACTATTTTATCTGCATAATTGTCTTCTGTATTGTGTATGTGCTAACTTATTATTTACTAGTTAGTGTTACGTTAGCTTCTGTTTACTTGATTAAGAGCTCTTGAAACTGTCTTTAATTTTTTTCAGGGTCCTCCTGGTCCCCCTGGAACTGCAGGATTCCCTGGTTCTCCTGGTGCTAAGGTAAACATGCATTTTTATAGAAGAATATAAAATAGATCTTGGAACAACAGAAAATCTTTGGATTGTTTCTTCAAAATAATATATATATTTTACCCATCAAGTAGATATCTTTTTACCTATTCAGATCTTTAAAGCCCTATTTTTAATTCCCTGGCATTCAACTATTCTGATATCTCTTCGTCTTTTCCTAGTCTCTTTCTGAAAATCAGATCACATAATCACACACATAGTTAGCATTTTTCTGTGCCTACGTGATTCATGATTCTTTGCTTATGATAGAGCATATCATCATACTATTCCTGCATTGGGGAGATGGGTTTAAACTGGCTTAGTGATTACAAATGGCGAAAGACACTGACTGCTTAGGGTTTTCCACCTTAGGGTGAAGTTGGACCTGCTGGATCTCCTGGTTCAAGCGGCTCCCCCGGACAAAGAGGAGAACCTGGACCTCAGGGCCATGCTGGTGCTCCAGGTCCTCCTGTAAGTAACAAATATGGCCATTGAGGAGTGTTGCTACACTTCTTTCATGAAAGCATATGTTTTAATGTTGCTATCAACTGAAATATTTTTTGAAAAAAAAATTGTTGCTTGATGCTCTGAAATGACTCTACTGTGATAAATACTGATTTGGTTAGTACTAAAATTCGTGGGTCTTGAGGTTTACCCTCTTCAAAATTTATGAATTTTATGTTTATTTGACAAAGTGGAGGATGGATAGTTATCTTATACTTCAAAGAATGTGTTCCAACTGATCACTGATCACAAAAATTCAGAGAAGAAACAGGATTAAACACCTTTTCTATTCATTTCTTAATCATTTAGACCAAGTGCATATTATCTTTAATTTATTCAGATAATGATAATTCTTTTGCCTACATTTTATGTGTTATGCTGTAGTTGGAGGAATCACCGAATCTCTACAAAGCCCAACACCCATCAATAAATTTACTTTGCAAATGTATATTCCCTAGTTACATTATTTTTACTAGGCTCTTTTACCCTTCTAGGGCCCTCCTGGGAGCAATGGTAGTCCTGGTGGGAAAGGTGAAATGGTAAGTTGCCCTCACCCCCCACGCTCATTTCATCCACACCCATTATTGGATTCCTTTGCATTTTGCATGACAACCCATTTGTGATGTCTAAGTTAGCTCTTCAGAAAAGAGAGTTCAAGTTTAACTAATGTTAGTGTTCTTGGGCTATTTTTAGGGTCCTGCTGGCATTCCTGGAGCTCCTGGACTGATAGGAGCCCGGGGTCCTCCTGGACCACCTGGTACCAATGGTGCTCCTGGACAGCGAGGTGGTGCAGTAAGTTGCATATTTTTTCCCTAGTTGCTTGAAAGGTGTGGCTCAAGTCCCACAACAGAAATATAAACAGCAAACTTTTTGCACTTGTTTATTTGATTTTATGTTGGTTTCCCTCTGGTTTTATCACTGGATCAGCAGTTGCCACTGCTGATTTTCTTAGTCTGTACTCCCTGTTTTTAAACCAAGATTTTGTTTCATTTAGGGTGAACCTGGTAAAAATGGTGCCAAAGGAGAGCCAGGGCCACGCGGTGAACGTGTAAGTGTTACCCCAACAGAATGGGTTATTCTTTATTTCCGCTAAAATTTTGCAACCAAATGTATCCCTTTATTGGCATCCTTTTTAGGGGGAAGCTGGTTCTCCAGGTATTCCAGGACCTAAAGGTGAAGATGGCAAAGATGGTTCACCTGGAGAACCTGGTGCAAACGGACTTCCAGGAGCTGCAGGAGAAAGGGTACGTTTCCCATAGGCATCTCCAAGGAGAAGAGTTATCACTTTCATCCACATAGAACTTGACCTTCAGGGTGAGGAAACCATGCTTTTTCTTAAGCTGAGTACTCAATCCCAAATGTGTTTTGGGGGCATTGTATAACATGAGAACATCTCTATTGTTACTCAGAAATTATGAAAAAGTTTTCATGCTTTGGGCTGAAACATTTGCCTTTTACTATTTCCAGGGTGTGCCTGGATTCCGAGGGCCTGCTGGAGCCAACGGCCTTCCAGGAGAAAAGGTAAATAACTTTAATTTCTATTTTTATAAATGCTGGTACTACAAATAGTTATGTTCTTCCACACAGTTTCCCATTAACTAAAACCTAAATATCTGAAGGAAATATATTGGAGTTTAAAAATAATTATAATTCCCAGTACACAACAATGATTCTAGCCCCTGCTCAGTCCTTCTAGCTTTGTAACTAAAGCAAGTCATTTAACTTCTATGAGAATTCATTAACTTATGTGTCAATAGAGAATTATTTATTTCAGCATCATTGCAAGAATAAAGTCAATTAAAGTGCCTGAAAGTTCTTTGAAAACTCTAAAATACTATCCAAATATGATTTTATATCATCAAAGATATTTGACTTTATATGCACCGAAGTATATCGTGATACCCACTGAATATTGCTGACATGTGATGTTCATCAAAGTTGCCTCAAACTACTCCCAATATGATAATCCGAGCTAATAGATGACAGTGATTTTATGGCATGTCAGCAGCATACCAACTCTCTTTAAGAGACAAAAGAGGGGGAAATCGGAGGGGGAGACGAACCATGAGAGACGATGGACTCTGAAAAACAAACAGGGTTCTAGAGGGGAGGGGAGTGGGAGGAT